CAAACAAATAACTAACACACCATATTTCACAAGAACCTGAAGAACACCCATGTTGACAATGGTAAGTGATAAATCGTCTGTTGCTAAGTTACTAAATTATCATTGACTTGTTACATGACAAGCATGCCACATAATATTTTGGCTGGAATCCTCAATGCTTAAATATGAAGGCTTTTCTTTATTTTGTAAGGGTTCCATGTGTGAAGAAAGGTGGGATCAGATTCACCATCAATGGCCATTCCTACTTCAACTTGGTGCTGATAACCAATGTGGGCGGAGCAGGAGATATCACAGCGGTGTCCATCAAGGGGTCTCGGACAGGGTGGCAACCCATGTCCAGGAACTGGGGCCAAAACTGGCAGAGCAATTCCTATGTTAACGGCCAAAGCCTCTCCTTCAAAATCACCACCAGTGATGGCCGGACAATGAACCAGTACAATGTTGTCCCTGCTGGCTGGCAATTTGGGCAGACTTTTGAAGGTGACCAATTCTAGAAAATTGTCGAGAATCGATTGATTTGGAAGATTGGAGACACATGAGGAGTTTACGCTGAGGTAGCAACGCGGCACCCGCTAGGCTTTGTGTGAAATCAGTATATAAATTAAACACCAAAATTTGTGTGTGGGTGATTAAAAATAAGTCAATTGTTTGAACATGGTAACATGGTCTCTCTTTTTTTCTAATTTATTTTAAATTTGTGCTAAGCTAATTAAGGGGTTAATTCCCAACTTATAAGTTACTATGATTTCCTATTATCAAGAAAAAGCGAAAGTTTCATTTGCTTATAGCTCAATTAGCGATTTAGATGTTTTGCTGTGTGATTGATACCTAAATTAGAGAAGGTAAAATCTCATGTTAAGCTCTCCAATAGATTTTATATTTTTAATTAAGCTTACGGACCATTTTTAATGTAGGTAAGTGCCTAAGTTCTACAATTTTTGCAATTTTGCCCTTTTCTATGCCTTTCTTTGTCTGTAACTTTGTAGTCTACCATTAAAAAAATACCAAAATTACACAGATCATGAGCTTTAGGGATTTATCTGCTTTAAAAAACGTCAAAGGGCTAAATTAAAAATTTAGAGCCAATTGAAGGGCTTAACTTAAGCTTCTGCCGATTAGAAAGTGCTGCAATCTCTTACACCGTGATTTGAATTGTGCTTTGGGTTCCTCTGTTCGTCAACGGTTCTGTTGAGCCAAAAACCAGTGATTTGAGTTGTGATATATATTTCTCTGTTGATCAACGTTTCTGTTGAGCTAAAAACCAGCCAAGACTGGCTTAGGAGGCTGGTCTTGGGTCAGCATTTTGCAAAGCGAGTCAATATCAAGACTAAAACCAACGCAAGCATTTTCTAAACTGAGCTCAATATCGGGACTAAAACCAATCTAAGCCTAGAAAATTTAAATACCAATAATTGTACTAACAATCATATCACGAGTTAAGGACTCGTTTAAGAATTATTTTAGACCAAAACAAATTCTCCTCCTAATTTTTTGTTGGAGTCAAGTGACCTGAATCCAGACCAAACTGAAACGGTCAAACCACGTGGATGAACAGACCAGTTGTGGTCTTAAATATGGCCAACCTAAGACCATAAGTCCAGAACCGGGTCTGCCAAGACCAGCCCAAATGTTATGCATACTTCAGCAGCCCAGCTCAGTTCTGTCACCTGTAGCTATTGTACTGACAAGAAAAACAAGAACAACAAAATGTCAGGCCTTGAGGATGCTGAGACCTAAAGTGAAAAATGCGGCTAGTACTGACTTCACTTTTCATGTCCAAACAATAAAGCTGAAGATCCAATGGTTAAAACGATATAACATAAGGCATGATGTAACAAGCCTTGTTCGTTGGCACTCCGGTAGGCTTTAGAAGCACAAGCAGAGAATAACCACCATAATGGTTACATGTATGTAATTAGATTTGCATATAGAAAACGACATGAATCATTGAAAGCATTGAGACATAAAGGTGACATTAGAAATTAGTTTTATGTGAAGATGATCCTGGAAAACCTACCACTGTAACAAGATTAATTCAGCTGGACATAGACAAATTCCGAAAACAGGTTGATAGCCTTTTTCTGAAGGGGGGTAATACTCATATTAACAGAAATGTCAAAAACAAGGTATCTCCTTTACAAAATGGTCAACAAACCAATGTAATGGTGATCTGTCCTTTTATTTGCACAAAGTTCCACTTCCCCCACCATCCTTTGTCTCCAACATTCCTGTGGTTCACTAATCACTAAAGTAATTAACCAGCAATTCTATCAAAATCTGTCCCATTGCATGCCAACTACGTTATGTTGGAACAAGAAATTTTTTTCAAAATTTTACCCCTCATTATCAGTTCTTAGCCCTTTTTGCAAACAGTTGGCGAAGGAAAGCAAACTTCCCCTTCGTACGTACTACTGATAACTCGGTAACTGTTCCATTACTTGTTTGTGCTGCCTCATTGGTTTCAGATTCTGCTATGGATGATGAAGGTGGCAAGAGTGAGAATAGAACTTCATTGAGCATGCGAATTATCTGGCTGAAGCTGGGCCTCAAGTTGGGGTCCTCAACCCAACATGATTGGATGATAAATGCCAGATTGGGAGATGTATCCTCTGGAAGGGTAGGTCTCTCCTGCTGCATAGACACAAGGCATCAAACTGTTTAGAAATATGTTGATATTTGTATTTATCATGCTTAACTAATGCATCGAGAGGGAACAGATTTTCCTTCCAAGCACCTTAAAAGCAGCAGCATAAGCAGCCTGCAAATTAGACATGCCTTCAAAAGGCATGCGGTTTGTCAATAATTCCCACAAGACAATGCCAAAGCTGTAGACATCAACCTTGTTATTGTAATGCTTTTTCTCTCCCTGACGCAGTGTCACAGTGCTATATAACTGCAAAGACACATTCTTGGGAAATAAGTATCAACCATGAGGGAAAACATTTGCACCCTATACAAGCTCACATCCCATATGCAGATTATAACAAAGGGAGCAGGCCTACTCCCCCTGACACC